ACACACACACACACACACACACACACACACACACACACACATACATACAAAGTTAAGATTCCTTTTCCTTCCTATACATCACAAGTACATAGAACACACATTGAAGAATGCAGAAATATACTTTTTAGGGGATCAAGTAATTCTCATCAAGACCAAAATGCAAGTCAACATTTGGGAAATGATGGAATAAAGTGCTTCTCTTACTTTAGTTTGGAAGTGCTCTAAGTTACGGCTCAAAGGTTTCGTCTTCTAGTCATGCTCTTGTAGCCAATCTACTACTCATGAACATACAACATGACTACATATTTCTAGAATTCGTTCATTTGGTTATGCTCATTGTCATGCTGCATCCAACACAGACAAACACTTGAAAACAGTTGGAGTCATTCAAATTGGCGCACTTTAGGGAAGAGTGTGACATCTTGGGACAAAGCGATGAGTAACGTTGCCTCTGGCGGCCATTTTGAATTAGCGTGGCAGTGCCCCAGCAGATGCAGCAGATTGTGATATCATGAAAAATAAAAGATTCATCGTTTTTGATATTAACACGATGAGGAATGTAAAAACAGTTACAAAAATAAAAGAATACATTTTTAATATTACAAAAATACATAAAAAAAAAAATTAAGGTGGGAAAACCAAAATTCCTAACAAAGATTTTTTTCAAGATCATCAAAAGTCCTCATCTATCGGTTCTTATATGATGTACATTGTATTATGGCTTTATCCTTGTCATTTTTCATAGTAATTTTAACTTGGGTGGCATGGTGAGGAAGTGGTTAGCACGTCTGCCTCACTGTGCAGAGGTAGGTTCTCCCCCTGCCCGGGTGAGTTGACTCCGGTTTCCTCCCGCATTCCAAAAACATGCATTGGCAGACTGATTGAACACTCTAAATTGTCCCTAAATGTGATTGTGTAAGCGCGAATGGTTGTTTGTCTCTGTGTGCCCTGCGATTGTCTGGCAACCGGTTCAGCGTGTACCCCGCCGACTGCCCGAAGACAGCTGGGATAGGCTCCAGCATGCCAGCAACTCTTCTGAAGATAACTGGATTAGAAAATGGAAAGATGGATGATCTTAACTTCACGTAGTACTGTATTAAGATTTAATACTTGTAAAAGTTTGATTTTTTTTCCCGCCCTTCCCTCATTACAATTACATTTTATTGGTATGACGTTTTTACTTTTTTTTGGGGGGGTCAATTTTGGGGGGATTCACAATGGGACAGCATCCACTTCAAAGGGGACGTCGACAGTGCCCACGCGTCCATTTGTGATTTCTAATTTTACTATCATTTCTAGTTTTCCTTCATTGTATAATTTTTTTTTCCAGTGTGGCCCCACTATTTCATCGCATATACAGAATAATGATTCAATTGAAAAGATGTAGTTGTTGTACAGTAGAAAAAGCGAGTGAAGGTCCCAGATTCAACCACAAAAATTAGAGGAAAAAAAAGTCAAAATGTTTTTCAAAAATTCTGACTTCTAACCTGTAAATTCAACTGAAATCTGAACATGGAAGTTTTTGCTTTGTATATCCATCCGATAAATAAAGTCATGTCAAAGTTTTTCGCTCTGTTTGAGGAGTAATGCCCAATTGGTGTCTGACTTTAACTGGGCCACTGCCAACTCACCAAATCCCTTTTTTGGTTATTTGGGGCAAAAAAGCTCTTCGCCCCACGTTATGATAGAAACATCATAGTGACTGTGAGCCGCGCACGGCACATTTAGTATTGAGATAGGGGGAACAATCATTTTTAGTAGGTAAGATTTCTACCCGGCAACAAGTTGCTGCACAAAGACATTGTGACCAGTAGAACTTTAGTACATTTGTGTTGTTTTAAACTAAATATGTTGTCTGTGTGGTGAAGTACATTGATTGGTGGTTGGTGCCAAATCAGCTACTTTTCCATTTAAAAAAAAAAAAATAAATACACCACTGGTTACAGCAAATAGATTGATGTAGTTTTCCAAACAAATGCAAAAACAAGGTTTCGATTACAAACTTCAGTGTGGTTGGAGCTAATGTAGGGCTGCATCCTGAAGCCTTCCATTTTTTTAAAGGCAGTCTGGCTGCAGGAACAAGGAACGAAAAAAAAAAAACACGTGTGGAATGGTAAAAATGTCACACTCTACACACACACATACACACACACACATACACACACACACATACACACACACACATACACACACACACATACACACACACACATACACACACACACATACACACACACACATACACACACACACATACACACACACACATACACACACACACATACACACACACACATACACACACACACATACACACACACACATACACACACACACATACACACACACACATACACACACACACATACACACACACACATACACACACACACATACACACACACACATACACACACACACATACACACACACACATACACACACACACATACACACACACACATACACACACACACATACACACACACACATACACACACACACATACACACACACACATACACACACACACATACACACACACACATACACACACACACATACACACACACACATACACACACACACATACACACACACACATACACACACACACATACACACACACACATACACACACACACATACACACACACACATACACACACACACATACACACACACACATACACACACACACATACACACACACACATACACACACACACATACACACACACACATACACACACACACATACACACACACACATACACACACACACATACACACACACACATACACACACACACATACACACACACACATACACACACACACATACACACACACACATACACACACACACATACACACACACACATACACACACACACATACACACACACACATACACACACACACATACACACACACACATACACACACACACATACACACACACACATACACACACACACATACACACACACACATACACACACACACATACACACACACACATACACACACACACATACACACACACACATACACACACACACATACACACACACACATACACACACACACATACACACACACACATACACACACACACATACACACACACACATACACACACACACATACACACACACACATACACACACACACATACACACACACACATACACACACACACATACACACACACACATACACACACACACATACACACACACACATACACACACACACATACACACACACACATACACACACACACATACACACACACACATACACACACACACATACACACACACACATACACACACACACATACACACACACACATACACACACACACATACACACACACACATACACACACACACATACACACACACACATACACACACACACATACACACACACACATACACACACACACATACACACACACACATACACACACACACATACACACACACACATACACACACACACATACACACACACACATACACACACACACATACACACACACACATACACACACACACATACACACACACACATACACACACACACATACACACACACACATACACACACACACATACACACACACACATACACACACACACATACACACACACACATACACACACACACATACACACACACACATACACACACACACATACACACACACACATACACACACACACATACACACACACACATACACACACACACATACACACACACACATACACACACACACATACACACACACACATACACACACACACATACACACACACACATACACACACACACATACACACACACACATACACACACACACATACACACACACACATACACACACACACATACACACACACACATACACACACACACATACACACACACACATACACACACACACATACACACACACACATACACACACACACATACACACACACACATACACACACACACATACACACACACACATACACACACACACATACACACACACACATACACACACACACATACACACACACACATACACACACACACATACACACACACACATACACACACACACATACACACACACACATACACACACACACATACACACACACACATACACACACACACATACACACACACACATACACACACACACATACACACACACACATACACACACACACATACACACACACACATACACACACACACATACACACACACACATACACACACACACATACACACACACACATACACACACACACATACACACACACACATACACACACACACATACACACACACACATACACACACACACATACACACACACACATACACACACACACATACACACACACACATACACACACACACATACACACACACACATACACACACACACATACACACACACACATACACACACACACATACACACACACACATACACACACACACATACACACACACACATACACACACACACATACACACACACACATACACACACACACATACACACACACACATACACACACACACATACACACACACACATACACACACACACATACACACACACACATACACACACACACATACACACACACACATACACACACACACATACACACACACACATACACACACACACATACACACACACACATACACACACACACATACACACACACACATACACACACACACATACACACACACACATACACACACACACATACACACACACACATACACACACACACATACACACACACACATACACACACACACATACACACACACACATACACACACACACATACACACACACACATACACACACACACATACACACACACACATACACACACACACATACACACACACACATACACACACACACATACACACACACACATACACACACACACATACACACACACACATACACACACACACATACACACACACACATACACACACACACATACACACACACACATACACACACACACATACACACACACACATACACACACACACATACACACACACACATACACACACACACATACACACACACACATACACACACACACATACACACACACACATACACACACACACATACACACACACACATACACACACACACATACACACACACACATACACACACACACATACACACACACACATACACACACACACATACACACACACACATACACACACACACATACACACACACACATACACACACACACATACACACACACACATACACACACACACATACACACACACACATACACACACACACATACACACACACACATACACACACACACATACACACACACACATACACACACACACATACACACACACACATACACACACACACATACACACACACACATACACACACACACATACACACACACACACACGCACACGCACACGCACACGCACGCGCGCGCACGTGCGAATATAATCGCACAAATGCAGAATTGTACTTGCACACTGGACATGTCACAGACATATCTGGCATGCATTTTTTTTTTTAAACATGAAAACTTTTTTTTTTAGAAATTATTCAGCAGCACAAGAGCTCTCATTTCTTATGTACATAAATGAACAATAAATATAGCTAATGCTCATATATTTTGAAATATATACATTAAATAATGAAATACTCTTATATATTTCAAATATATTCATAGAATTCTTTCTAATTGGAAACACTTCTCAAGAGATATAGTCACAGTTTAGTAACAAAACATGTAAGAAGACGTCTCCCTACTAGTCTGGCTGCAGTGTCTCTTTTTTGAAGTCTTCTAATCGATGCACACATTCTATTTCTACATTCGACCATCTTTGACTGGTAAAGGTTCATTTAACGGTGCGCAGAAACAAACATTGTCAAAGCAGATTGTGTTGTCTTCATATTTGGCTGTCTGACAGGGAACCAGCCCTGACAAAGACCACTGGGGCCAGATTTGCAAGATGATGGTCAAACCAACTGCAGTCGGCTGTCCGACCCTGAAAGAGAAGCTGCAGCGAGGACCTCTAGGGGGACGTTGAGGAACAGTCAAGAGAGTAAAAAGACCGAACTCTCCAAATGAACCCTGTCTCCCCTCTTCCAGTTGTTTTTGAGACACACAGACTGGAATTAGAACCACATGAATACTGACAGGAGTTGATGCAAGATGTCGAAATGCATGCAATAGTGTGAAAGTTCTCCCTGCCTGATCCCCGGGATGACACACATGGCTTACAGTAGGATGGCGTCGGTGCTGCTGGAGAAATCTTGTCACGTCCCGTCTGCGACCTCTCCCCTCCCCCGCTCTTCCTGTTTCTGGACCTGCTTTGTCTTAATCTCCCTGCATACAGACTCATTAAAAAAAAAAAAAAGTGGTCCACTATTGCACAGCATGCCCATCATGGCCTTGTTTGTGGCAGCGGGTCAATGGTAGTGAGTCCTCTTGTCATCGTTTTCCGAGCTGTAGTCCCTCAATCCGATACCCCGCTGGAGGTTCAATAAAGAGTCTTTCATCTGATCAAGATGGGAGTAAAGAGGAAAGCATGTCAGTTTTAGGAGCAGCATATTAATGATGGTGAAGCTACTCATATTTCTTGTTCAAGAGTCATACATTTGCAAGAAAATTATTTCAGGATTTCTTTGGAAGCCTCTGTTCAGAGAATAAAAACAAAACAAAACACCTGTTTGCTGTTTTGAGCTCAGGCCAAAGGATTAACAGTTCTGCTTTCAGCGCCATCTGTCTTGGTGACAAGGAAGTAAAGTCACCTCCAAAGGCAGCGGAAGGTCAATTGCTTTGTTGATGTTGTGCAATATACTGAAGACATCTGGTGGCGCAACTCTTTCTTGCAATAACTGCATCCAGCCTGCGATGCACTGACTACACCAGACTGTTACATTCCAACTTTGCATGCTTTTCCAGGCCTTTACTGCAGCCTCATTCAGTTCTCGTTTGTTTCTGGGGGGTTTCTCACTTCAGTCTCCTCTTCAGGGGTTGAAAAGCATGTTCTATGCTCCTCCCGATTCCTTTGTTTGGGTCCATTTTTTCTGTAAATTGCCTGATGAGTGGTTTGCATCTTGTGGTGTGGCCTGTTTTCTTGCAACAGTGGTGTCACTGACTGTTGTCTTTGGGTGTTTCGTCACAGCTAGTGCAATGTTTCTGTCATCAACTGTTGTTACTGCTGGCCAACCTGTTTGTGCAATAGCTCTGATGGATTTTTCCTCTTCTCTCACTTCAGAAATGGTTTGGTTTTCTCAAATCTTAAGTGTTTGCTTCATAGCAAAGGCAATTTTCACAGGTTACTTCGAGACATTGTCGAGTGTGCGAGTACCTGGTCGAGTAACACCACGGATGACTTGATTATCTCCCGCCACTTCTGCAGCTCGGCATCATGGAAACGCTGCTGTGCCTCCAGGAGCTGGGCCCACTCCATTTGTGTCTGAGGAAGTTTACTGCGAACACACACACACACACACACACACACACACACACACACACACACACTTAAGCAATTACCAAGGAACAGCTAATGAAGCATGGCCTCCATTCAAAGAACTTGACGAATGGTTTCATTCATTCCAGAAACCACTTAAGAGACTTAATGGGTTCCGGTCACATACTGTCTATTATTAGTCATACCGAATGTGTTCATCTTATTGTGGACAGCATGTGTGATTGCCTGCTGGGCAACCATCCAAATGTACTGTTTGTGGTCAGGGTTTCATAAACGATGGCGAAATTGTAGTATCTCTGCACAAATAGACGATAGGAATCAAAGTGTAAAATGTGTGCACGTGTATGTGAGTACAAACCTTTCGTGCAGCCGCAGACCTTGCCAGGTTGTTAAAGACTGCGCAGAGTATTCCAGCATCCATAGCTTGTAGAACAACATCATATTGAGGAACACCAACAGGACCAGACTGGGGGGAGACAGGAAAACAATTGAAATCATGAACAATAACTTTCCTTTGGGATTTTTTTTATGCATATCTGTAAAATGACTTCAAAAAAATATTTTGGGCTCTTGAGGCTATGCAAATAAATAAACTGCGTGTACCTTAGACAGATCCTATGGGTGGCAATGAAACGAGAGGAGAGAGGATTTACACTCAACGGCAACATATATCCTCAGAAATTGAAGTCAGATAAAAATGTTACGTAAATAACGGTGAAATGCGTCTGTAGAACCCCGAAAGCAAGTGCTTAATGACTAATAAGATATTTGAAAAAAAAAAACCCAAAACAACCCCCCCCAGAAAATGATCTGTTTGCATCACACTGAAATATATCTGCCACACCATTAGATACATATCAGAAATGTAATATTTGTACAAATAGCCGAGGGGATTCTCCATTGCATTTGCAAATGTAGGGATGGATATCAAAGGGACAGATATTTCAGGAACTACAATAGCACTCAGAAAAGGGTCGACCTCAACGCATTTGTTTCCCCAAGAGGACCATTAGAACTGTGAAATCATATAATGCCTGTATAAATGCCTCACTGTATGATTATATGGTGTGTGCACAACAAATTGATACATCAAACAGATATACCAAATGAAGTGTCAGGTGTGAGCATGATTTGTATATTTTCCAGCGATTGTGTGTTACGATGAGCTACATACACAAAGCTGATGATGAGGAGCAGTTTGGAGACGCTGTATAGAGCCAAGCCTCCAGGTAGGCGACGGTGCTCCGGACTCTGATGTCTGGTCTGTGTGGAGCCTGCCACTTGTTTGATGCGCTGAATCACTTCCTCGTCCGTCGGCGTGGTGACGGGACTGAGTGCTTCGTCCAGATGCTGGCTCCGCATGTGGGGGGTTGGCCTCTTTTTCCGTCTCACCGTGGCGCTTTTCACCACTTTAGTCTTCGGGGAGAGCTGGTGGGCCTCGGTCAGGATCTCCTCCAGCTTGGACAGCTCCACCTCTGAGAAAGATATTTCCATCAGGATTGAGTGTCAGTGATGAAGTGCTACCTCACAGACTTTCAATGCAATATTAAAGTATCTACATGTTCAAGCAGGATCAGTTGAAAGTCTCCCCCATCATACTGTAAACAAAAGCATGACCTCGTTTTGCCATCACCAGTTATGAAGTCTTAAGCCACATATACAGTCGTGCTATTGAGGAAACCTTGAGTTTCTTTTCAGAATCAACATTTTCCGTGGCATAAAATATCACAAAATAATACATTGATAACAAATGAGATTGTGGACACACATTGAAGTTTGATCAAAAATTGAGTACACATAAATGAAAGTGTAGAATTTTAGAAAAAATCTATTTCATAAGAATTCAAACTGTCGGTCACCAAAATTCTGAAAAGATTTTCTTATGTTTACTGAGAAACGGATACAAACCTTTCAGTGTTATAGTGTTCTTAGTTTGGGAAAACAAAATGATAAGTAAGCACTTGTCAAAAGCTATGACATTGCTGCTTTTCTGTTCATGATCTCACATTTCTAGCAAAAGACGACCGACATTTCAGAAACTGCTTCAAAAGATAAGAGGACACCCGTCCCAACAATTTGCAGCATTCACACAATACAACTATGGTTTACCAAGTTGGCGAAAGTTCTCCTCCAACCCACTCCAGAAGTTTTTCTCAATGAAGCCTTTCACGAGCCCCCATGGCTGTTTTCTGAAGCGCAACTCTGTTGATACCCTAGAAGACAAATAGAACCGAACCTTTTCTGACTGATGCCAACAACATGGCAAGAATCAACCGGAAAATAAAAAGCTATTTGATAGTTTTACTCACCGTAAGCGACACTTGTTCTTGGCCACCCGGGTGAGCATGTAGCGGTTGAGGGTGTAGAAGTAGTCGTGATAGGGAACGTCATGCGTGATGACCTCAGCGTCGATGATGTAACACTCACTCTCCTGACTGGCCTTGTATAGAGTCTGAAAGATGTATTTTGGATTTAAGTGTTGAATGTTTCATAGATTTGTTATTCTGTGTGTTGACTGGTGATAGGAAAATGAAGCTTCAAATTGGGTGCATGAACCAGTTGTATTTTTTTGACTCCTCCAGATGGCACTGTTGGTTTAAATATAGAGATTTAAAAAATTGCAAGTCGTGCACTTTTATCCCAATGTTGAACAGAGAGTGCCACCTAGAGGAGTCAACAAATACAACTTGTTCATGAAGCCAATTTGAAGCTTCATTTTCCCATCGCTAGTGTTGACAATACCTGTGTCTCAGTGACTGTTGCTGTCTTGGGGGCTAGAGGGTTTGACAGTGAAATGGTGTACAGGATCTCCCTTGTCTGGTTCCCAGCCTCCTCCTTCTTCCATGGGTGGTAAACCACATCTGAACACACAAAAAATGGATAACACAGACACATCATTAATAACTCATAAAAGGATAAATAGTAGGGACGTTCGGTACCACTTTTTTTTCAGACCGATACCAGTATGATTATTCTCTCTGCGTACTCACCGATACTCTAATATTTAGCATTCATTTAACACAATGATAAACCATTGTGAACAAAGCCTTTCTTTCTGACACAGAGGATGATTCGCCGATGAACTGCAGAGGAGGACTATGTCAGATTTTATTTGCCTCAAGTATCAGTGGTATCTTTACCCGATACCTAAAAATAAGGCTGGTATCGGCCCGATACCCGTTATACATATCATTACTTAGCTAATCAATAGCATGAATGCAAACCTGAGAATCGCCGCTGCTCCATGAAATCGCTCATGAACTGTGACTCCGTGAAGAGGATGTCATACAGCTTGTCCACACTAAATTTGTAGATCTCGTTGATGTGCTGCCTCCCATTCAGATCCTCGTGAAAGGCCTGAACTTCACCTGTCACAGAGACAAACATGCACAAGGACAAAAGGAAACCTTGATTACTCGATTAAATCATCAACCAAGGATTGACCTAAAGCCTTTGGTACACCTGCATCCATGAAGTAGCACAGATCTTGTGAGCCAGCAGACCCTCTTTTTTGACATTGATCGCTGGTTTCCACATGATGTAATCTGCCCTTTGCACTCACCCTCATCGTGTGTCTCTGAAGAGTCGCTGAGCTCCGTGGGGATGTCCTCGTTGTCGTTGAAGTCGAGTGAGGGTGAGGGGATGGGAATGCCAGTCCCGCTGGTGTCGTTGCTCTTCTCTTCCACCAGCAGGGGCACAGCTAACAGCTCGCCATCCAGTTGGCAGTCTGTGAAATCATCTGTGGAGAGGTCAAACTGGTGTAGGGGGTGGTGGTGGTGGTGGTGGGGGAGGGGGCAACAGCACAGAAAGTCTTTTATTGGCAGTCATAATGTGGAACATCAACAATAATAACTCATTCGATGAGGGTTGTTCAAATGTGGCACACGACTTACTGTGATGGGTGTGTCATGGTTGCCCGTGCGGTTGATGGTGCTGTTTGGGACAACCTTCTTGTGAAGAAGAGGTGGACTCGCTTCAGGCTTGGCTTCTGCACTGCTTTTCGATAAGTTGTCGTTGTTCATCTCATTCTCCTCATTTGGAATCTCTTCACTGAACCTGAAGGTGCCACAAAGCCACAGAGTTAGATCAAGTTAATCCTATAATCATTCATACCCGAGAGTTGATCTCATCTTCAAATGGGAGCGCCGGAAGAATAACATTGGAAAAAAAATTAAATAGATGTTGTATTTAAGAACTCAAATCTTTTTTTTCCCACTTTTTGATAAGTTCCATGTCCAAAGTTAATCATTCTCTTTCTCAATACATGTAAAGCAAATGGTAAGAAGTGGCATCTGTATGATCAGATTGCAAACAGGCAACCAGTCTGAGGGAGACAATGCCTCCAAAGTCACCTGCGATCGGCTCTGGCTCACCTGCGACTCTAATGAGGATACTCAATTGGACAGATTTTTACATAAATGTGGTGTCCGTGTTTCGGACATCCCATTGATGCAAAAATGACAAAACGATCAAAATGGGCATACATACATGTTTTTCAGCGACAATATTTTACGTATATATTTTGCTAGTTTGTCAAAAAATAACTTGTCCCATCTGTGGACCTTGAAGCACACATTTTTTTCTCTCCGCCTGTTCTTCATTATCCAGTAGAGGGCGGCAAAATAGATTCAGAATTAGCTCATAATAATTACAAAAAACACAATTGTGACTATTTCTATCTCACACCTTTTTTTTTGTCTGGTCCAGCCAAAAGAAAATGTTGAATGGGTAAAAAAAAAGATCTGAATCAAAAAATGCTTTTGCTTTTATGACGATTATTCCGACCAAACTGTATCATGCAGAGAGTTGTCCTGAAGAAAACATGCTATTCATTAGGGAAATTGGCCACTGCGTCACACTTCGTTTCAATCAGCAAAATGCACTCTCTGCTGCTAGGAGCGACAATCTCTTTAAGCTAGTCGCCTGGCAACACAACAGAAAGCACAATAATTACTCGGGAAAGGCATTTAAACACAGCTCTGCCGCTTTTCATTTAGGAATCCACTTCCTGCTTCCCGCTTATTAGGAACTCTTAAGTAAGTGCAAATAAACAGAGAGGCGAGGAGGGTACAATTTTCATTGCGCCCGTGTAAACAGCTTTTAATCAATCGCCATGTCATTTGGATAATTGTTTGCGGCCGTAGCCACTGACTTCTCCACCGTCCAGCCACACTCACCCCATGGTGTTGAAGTCGTCATCAGGGGGAACGTAGTCCTCGTCATCACTGGTCAGGCCGAGCTCATTGCCGTAGCACTGATGGACAAAGTGCCACAGCTCTTTGGGGCACAGCGGCTGAGGTGAAAGCACAACGTCACGGGAATTAGAAAGTAGGTGCATCTTTGGGGAAGATCACAATGTAGTCCACTGGACATCTTCTGGACTTTCTCAAGTGGATTGAAAGCACAATTTGAGCGTTGTGGCTTTACCAAGTAGGGAATGTGGTGAATTATAGTTTGATGAGGATTTGACGAATAATGTTGTAAATATAAGTCATCAAAAGAAAAGTCACCAAAAGAAAAGTGAACATAAAATGACAAAATAATAGAAGACAACACATTAGACAGAGACAATCGTGCAATCTCCACCACTTTTCTGCATACACTTTGTTGTCTGAAGCAGTTATAGATGAAATAGGAGCGAATCAAAGTGTCCTTTTCACCTCATCATCTCGGTTTCCAGTTCAATTGTTTTACCTTGTCAAGCAGCGCATTCTGCCATAGTCTGAACATCATCATGTACGTCCTGTCTCTGGCTCCAAAAGAGGTGAAAAAGTGCTGCCGAGAAAAATAATTAAGCACATGAAGAGCATAATGAGTACATCGGCGGAATCAACATTGAAGGCCCCCAACTAAATGGACAAAATTCCCATAATACAAAATGTCCGCTTTTCTTTTTTTTTATTTTTATATATCTATGTGCATACAATGTAACTGTAAATACTTTCCTTCCATACAGAAGCAACTTGTCTTAAACTTTGAATTTGTTTCATTATGTTGGAATCATTTGCAGCAAAACCTTACCTTCTCATTGTCAGTGCAGACCTGGATGGCGTTGGGAATAAGGCGGGCAGTCTTCTCTTTCGTCATTGAGCAGATGTCCTTTAGCCGCACCGTTAGCTGCACGTGTGAAGATGCGAAGTACAAATGCTCTTCAGAAATAACGGGCCAACTTCTCCAGTGAAACGACAACACAGAGGGCTCTATCATTGTAGACGGCTGCATGCAAAAACTGCTCAAACTTACACTTCCTGATTTTTGGGCTGACGCAAGCCTCACTGCATTTGTTTGATAATTTGGCTCGCCTCTTAGTGCAATGCTGGCTTTTCTGGCCTGCCGAGGGTGGATGATTCGACATGCACACGGTGCACCTGACAATTTGGTGGCTGAACGACAACTCAAGTTTACGACTGTTGGAACCACTTCTAAGTATTGGCGCAGGTAGTATGACGCGATTTTGGTGAATTTGATTGAGGGTTAGCATCAGGTTTTGACATCTGTAAAAATGCCAAAACACAGTCCAGCCCGCCCCTGCGTAGATTTACGCCGCGCCTCGCGCCAGACTTGCACCGGGTACGAAAATAGAACCCAGAGAGTGAGCAACAAGCATACCAGTGTTTCCCAGCGGAATATGTTGCTATAGAAACAGATCCAGTTCTCGGAGAGGTAGAGTCGTCCCTGTAGTAGGATGTCCCGTTGCAGAGCACAGGAATAGTCTAGATCCACAAAGACATGACATGGCATCATCAAAACGCACATCATGCAACCATTTTCGACATCGCATACGTAAGATTGCAATCAGTCAAGTTTGTCCGGATTGTGAATGGGGATTTGAGAGCGAAAGGATTACATGTTCGATGGATCAAACTCAGCGATATAAACCAGTGCATTACCCCAAAACAAAATGAATGGCACTGACTAGAACTGTAGGCTATCGCCGCCATGTCAGCAGTTGCTCGGTCAAAATAAATAAATGCAAAAAAATTGATAATTACTGAACAAAATGAAGGTCCACGTTTTTTGGGCTTAGCAAATAATTCCATCAATAGCTCTTAATAATGTCGATGACGAAAGTATTAATTTACAATTCAGGACATTTTTAAGTAATGAAAAAGAAATCAGTTGTTGTTTCCAAACTTTTGATGGAGTATTTCTTGTCTGTGAGGTGGAACAGTAATGTGGGTTTAATAACACCGGTCAATAAATCTTTAAGACATTTTTTTTTTTTTTTTGTCAGAGATGCAAGTACACTTTCCTTGAGGAACTTTTTTCATTTCAGGTGGGAGAGTGATCAACTCCCAACCTGAAGGTTGATTCAAATGTACTCAATTAAAGTGGATGGATTAAAAAAAAAAACAAATGCATGAATGAGATGCTGACCACATTTGCAAGTGCAACTCTTGACCACAAAAAGGCCACGTGGATATCTGTAAACATGAACATGTCACAGTCCATTTGATGATTTTTACGGCAGTCGGCTTCACGAGGACTGTGAGGCAAGTCAAATTGCGTAATGACAGCCAGACAAGTTGAAACATGTGACCTTCCGAGTGGTGTAAAGCCAATCGTTTCAGATGGCATCTGTGCGTCAGTGGCATCCGCTCACCAACAATGAGTCTCTCAGTGTCAGGTAGCTGCTTGAAGAGTTTCCTGAAGTCCTCATTGCGTTGCTTGTATGTTGGGCTCAGCACCTGCGGGGACGAGCACAGCGAGAGGCATTGCTGCACCATATAAACGTGCACGCAAACGCACAGGCATCTTCATGCTTGCTCGTTCACACACAAGCGGAAGGGGTGTGGTGGTGGTGGTGGTGGGGGGTGGTCTCTGTTATGCAGCCCGCTTCATTCACTTCAAAGCTTGTCAAATCCCTTGACTGGCCCTGGTGATAATTGAGAGTTGTGTGAGGGATTTTGGCGAGATTGTGTACATGACGTTGACTCGATGGCAAGCAGAGTTACACAGAAAAAGCTGCGTCTTAGTAGAAGCTCAATTCCAAAACAGCCCACTTCACATCATTCGGTTAACATGCCGTGCGCATTTAACGCAGTCACATTTTCACTTTGGCATCACACAGCAAACGTATACGCTACGGAAGGGCCAAAACATGAGCTACACCTGCACAATTCCTCAAGGGCTGTTTCCAGACACGCCCGCGAATATATCAATGCATTTTGTGGGACAGTCTGTGAGGTGTATGTTTTATTTGGGCTGTTTTATTTTCGCTCACGGACAAAATAGTATTTGGTGAATTTAGTTCCGTGTGCCTCTGTATGCAGCAGTTTTACATGACTGCAAACTACTACTAACCACAATTGCCACAACACTCTTGTATATGCAGGTGTAACTAATGCCGTGGCTGCGCTTGAAAATGCAGTTATGACTAAATCTTGGAAAGAAACTGATGAGTGCTTCACTTTTCAACAAAAGGGCTCCAGGCTGGTATGAAAAGAAGGTCTCCTTTGACAAGCAAGTTTGAATCTTAAAATATGTGCTTTTCTGTGCAGAATGCTAACGATAAACCAGCCTGCGATGACACCAGACAACAGAGCTCTTTGAGTGTTCGAATAGCAACGAGTCACAACAAGGCCTGCACTTTATTTATCTATTGATGGGGAATTACCGCAGAATTATGCTGACAGCACTGCTTACATGTAGACTGAAAGAAATGCTGTGTTGAACTTCATTTTATTTTGTCAAGTGACTGCACACAATGGAAACACATGGATTTGGATACCCTTTTTTTTTTTTTGAAATTCAATGTATAGTCTACTTAAAAATGTATCTCGATCCAGATGATTTTATTCCGTGCAACTACTTGACAAAATCAAATGGAGTAAATTCAACACACATTTTTTTTCAGTGTCCCCTCATTTTGGTCCAGTTCACGCAAAACGTGGCTTTACTTACAAAGTAGCGAAGCACTTACTGCAGGGATCTCCTCAGAGTTCCACTCAAGTTCCTGAAGGTCTGAGGTGGCCCACACCCATTCCCAACCCCATTCGCCTGTTGCTGAACCCTGCAGAAGCCACCCTGCCAGGGCCTCATCCAGCGCCAGCACAGCCTCCCAATCCGACATCAAACAATCCTCATCCGGTTCCATGTTCGATCCTTTGTGTCTCATGGAGTGAAGCAAATATCCTGCCTGCACCCCGTTGCCACTGATGTTGAAGGGCTTGTCAGTAACTAGTAAAGAGTAGATGGTGAGTGGCTGCCCTGTTCTGTGTGTTGGGTTGCTGCTCCGTGTCAATGCTGAGCATTGGACACACAGGCACACTTCAACCACATGAGCCTTGTCTCTCTCTCTCTCTCTCTCTCTCTCTCTCTTCCTCTTACACACACATACACACACAGGAAGAGGAGTTAGAGCCATTGCCCTCGAGTAACCCCGAGCAACAAGTCCTTTATTATCATGGCAGAAGCACCCACCTCCCCACCAACGCCACTCCCCTCTCTTATCCCAAAGGAAGTGTGCAAGTTGTATGTGGAGCTGCCCGGGGTCTGAGATCCTTTCGTAATTAGTCTGTTTAGGACCCACAGAATGAAGCACGTTAAGAAGTGAAAGAATGGTGAGGGAGCCAAGGGGTAGTTGAGGATGTTTTAGAGAAAACATGAAGTTTTAAGTCTGCTGCAGGGAGTGTTGAGTCTGGCCAAGTGATTGAGTTACAGAGAACAGATGTGAGCATAACCTCCAGTTACCTCTGACTGCAAAACAACACCATCAATCGTGACACACTCAGAACTGGGCTCCGAAACGACCCAGCCAATGTAACATATCATAAAACTGCAAGACCCTTCAACAATGCTGAAATATACAAATTAATCAAGATCTATAACATTTAGGAGTATGTCACTGTGCAGTGGAACCTGTACAATTGAGCTTTTGCCTTAAGGAATTTGAGCATAATATGCCTCCCAAATTATTCGAGATATCTAACCACTGTCATGCATGACATCGTGGGGCATCAACTTATTGCATAAGACCCCAGCGAAGCAGCAGTGGACAATTCGTAAAAAAAGTGGACTTGTGACTACAGTCGACTTATTTTTGACAGACAGTTGATGTTTCCGCTATGAGGATGCTGGAACGGATGATTTCGATTCTCCAATGTTTCCGATGGGGAACACGGTTTCAAAATCGAAACGAGTCGCACTTCAGCCAGTTTCCAGGAATTGAATGTGTTCGAGCTTTGACCTTCCACTGCGCGATGTTTGCAAATATGCGCCATTTTGTCTGTTGGTGAGCGTATCTGATTTTAAACGCAATGCTAGGAAATGAAATGGCTGCAGAGAATCAACAGTGTTAACATTATCTGACATCTGATACAAATATATTCATGATAGAAACTCAAAAAGTGATTTAATCAACTGCAATGTTATATTTGCATAGCGGACCAGTTGATGAAAATCAGCCATTTGACCAAGTCAGGTCATTTACATTTTTAGGAACATGGATCAATGCACACAATTATTTTTTCCATACAAAGTGAATATTTCTTTGTTCTTCTTTTCAATATAATTTTTTTTTTTTTTTGTACAATTAATTTTTCCATACAAAGTGAATATTTCTTTGTTCTTCATTTCAATATAATTTTTTTTTTTTGTATGGTGCATTTGAGTTGATGGAGCCGGAAGCCAGATAAGATAGGTGTGCCAAAAAAAGCAGATAACGAACAACGAGGAATGTATTGTTAGCTTTGGGCGGTCGCCTCCTTGCTCGCCCTGGCTTAAATTTAGTTGTGAGGCCTCCCATGTACACATGACCGATGATCCCCGAAAAATGCAAAGCTTGCATCTTCTATTTTGATGGCACTCCAAGTACAGTGGCATGCATAACCTCCTGCGACACTTGACTAAAAATATTGACAAGAATCCAGAAGGCAAGCATGGTCATCGAGGCCACGGCGGGGCGAGCCCAACCGTTCATTCCAAAGACGTCCTGCTGTTGCCCAATATGTGGCCTTTAACCACTCTCAAAGGACTGAAATCATCGTGGCAGAAACTGATGGTAAAGTTCTGCTCATTCACATTTAAAAAAAAAAAGTCTCTCAAGTAGAAAGTGGCCTCTCGAGCATGCGGTTAAAAATTTCAGCCGAACTCAGGCTGACAGAATAAGTTTTCCTCGGAGATGACTTGCGGCACCGCAGCTCTGAGTGGCCCATTATTTAAAGATCATTCAACTCATTGTCCTCCAATAAATCAAGTGAAGAACGAGGTCATTGTGGCACCAACTGCAGTAGTGAGGTAGTCAGGGAGAGACAGTATTTATAGATCTGGTTAACTATTAACACCCTGCACAAACATACAGGGATGGAAGAGACTGGTACTGTAAACCAGGTTGTGGTATGAGTCATTTTAAGGGTGGAGGGGGATGATAAGCTCATCCTTTTTACTACAGAAGATTTTCATTAATATTCAACTTCAGTCTGTTTTCCTCTTGCCGCAATGTGGGTGGGTATCGGAGTCTGCGCTGATGAAGAACGAGGAAAACCCCTTGTACACGCCATCTCTTTTTGGCAGCCTCAACAGCTCTTTTTCACTTTTGACTCATGGCCACATGCACTCACCATCCTTCTAAAATTTTTTTTGTCAATGTATTCCCTCTTGTTTGCGCAGCCTGAATGGAGAGCTGCAGATGAAAGATTTGTATTAAGCTTGTGCCGATGAATCAAGCCAAGCCTTGTTGCTGTTTTCATTGAATCACGTTGTTCCCATAACATCCCTAAAATCTCATGAACCCCCCCCCCCCCCCCCCCCCCCCCCCCTGCCCCCAACCTTTTATTGCTTTCATACTTGCACTGTTTGTGGTTTGCAACACTCACAAAGGGTAAAACAACTATTACTCAAGCAAGAGTAACTCAAGTGGTCGACGTGTGTCTATCATTGTGACACGTTTTTAGAAGTACAGGTAGTGACTATTTAGAGCACCAGCACAAAGGTTGCTCATTTCAGTTTTATTTTACTGGGTTTCCCAAAAGTCACTGTGCACTTCCATTATTCAGGTATCAAGATGTGAGGCCATCTGCTTTCCACATCCTAAGCTTTGCAGGGTTTTTTTTTTTTTGTCCATGGCTGGCCAATTGACATCGGAAAGACGTTGCAAAATTGCCACCTGGCACAAACAGGCTTTAACCAGAGTAGAAAGAGAAGTGGGAGAAGATAACTTCATTTGGGTTTCTAGGTTGAGAAATAGACGCCTCACAGGTCCTCAACTGACAAGCTTCAGGAAACGGTACCTGCAAAACGGAAGTGTCAACATCGACAGCGAAGAGACGACCCTCCGATGCTGCCCTTCATGGCAGAGTGGCAAAGAAAAAGCCATATCTCAGACTGCCGTTGGTGGTGGGGATTGAGACGAACGGCGAACCGGCGCGTCATGCCGAATCATGATAGAAGATATTTTTCCATATCGCCTCTCACAAGACTGGACTCTCTTAATTTGCCACATCGCATTATTGTCCCAACTTGCGGTAAGATTTAAGGGGATCTTCGTGTGACCTTTCACAAGGTTTTGTTGAATCCCCGCCGCACCCCACCCCCACCACCAAAAAAAAACAAAAAAAAAAAACAACAAAGAAATTCAAATCAAAAGACATCCCATTGCCTTCAACCTTTTCTATTTGGCATAGGTCATTTATTCCTGGAGGCTTAAAAATCATATCTTTTTGGGTCAATGGAACCATACAAATACATCTTACAGAATCTACTGACTGAACCACTTTATCCACTTTATGCAAAGACAATAACCATCATCATATTTTCCCCTGTGAAGGATGGTCGTTAAAGTGGATTGTTAGTCATGTCATCTGCAGCTACGTGAACCACTAATTGTTATGCTGATATTAGTATAAGAGATGTGAGTAAGCATGCTTGCAATCCAGTGCATGGGTGAGGTATTCAAGAATCTCTTGGTGCTTTTTGGGCACACCCTTGTTTGCATTGTTCTCTTTTCAGAGTCCACTCCTGACAGCCAAATGGCATCCTAGTCTCTATTTGGGCACAGAAACTTTAGGCCTCATGCTCCATTGCTATGGAATGTGAAGACATTAAAATCTTGCACATAACCCCCCCATTGATGGATTTGTTTAGTAGAGCGAGAACCTCCATGCGTCTGTTGCCACCTGTTGCATACCAGAATAGGAAATCAGAACAGACTTTTAAATTTGCACTTGTGTAATTCCAATCCATAATTCAATACCTACCGTAAATACATTTTGACATTGCCTTAAAAGCAACAATTATTGTGCATTTGAAGCTTTGTAAATGATAAATACGGTATGTAAATGTGAAGTTTGGCATTGCAGTGAGGTGGGAATAGCACTCGGTAAATTAGATGACAAACAGACTGGGGAGACATCGCATGGCACCAGTCTGACAGGCCAGAGTCAGCAAAAAATAAATAAATACAAGTCATGCTTACTCTCATGATGTGTTGTCTTTCATGCTGGGGAGAGAGTGTACACAAACAGGGAATATAATAATAATAATAAAAATACGGGATTGGATAAAAAAAACACGTTTGGTGGGCGGGGCAAAGGTTCAAGGCTGTGAAATCAAATCCAAAATTCCTGTTCTTGTGCCCTGTGTGGGCTTAATCAAAACAACAGACAGTCAAAAAGTGTGTCAAGCGAGGATTTGGGAGGAAGCACAGCGGTGCCGTTACAGGGTTGGTACGCCACCTGGTGGTAGGATAAAAAACTGCAACACTCAATTCGGCCTATTGAATTCACCGTAATTACGACATATTTTGCATTTTTCATTGCAGTGGGCCGTGTCTGAGATACGACATCGAAGTTGGAATCAGAAATGTCCACATGGTCTTGCCAAGGAAGTATTAAAATTCATGGAGAACTTTAAACATAACCTGTGTCCCAATTCTTGAATGACTGTCCTTGAGTAAACCCACTGCTACACATTGTTTATTTTTTGTTTTAGTGACATTTGTAAAAACTCTGAACAGGCAAAGTGGAATGTGACACACGCTCGGTCACACAGATGTTTTTTATTTTTATTTTTTAACTGATTCTAAGTTTGTCATGCGGAGTGGCGAGATATGACCATGAAAACCAAAAGGTGAACTGAAACATGACTGAGCTTCGAAGCTCGTTTTGTCTGACATTCATATGTGAATGTTTATTTATTGGTGGTACAAACACTACCTGTACATGTAAATCAGCCACAAGATAGACCTGACAAAAGGCATATCCGACTTAAATATTACTCCTGTTGCTCCTATCAATTGTTTTAATTAGCCAATCATTGAAAAAATGCAGTAGCACATTAAAGCATGTGTGTTACCAGCATGATCATGTAAATATTGACTTCTGGACAAAAGGCCACAGGGTGCTGTTTTAATCCCATGCTATTTTCTTCGACCGACGCTATAATTGCCATTGACATGTCAGCAATCCACATACACAGTCGTAAACAATGAACACACAAAAACACCTCAATGACATATACAGTAAGAAAAGGAGCACTTACGTTATACCAGCTTTGGCTCTTCTGCAGAGGCAAAGAGATAAAAAAAAAGAGAGAGAAAGGAGATTTTGATTATTAAATTTACGACTTCTTCTCCATGCTGGGGAGGTGTGCAAAATGACCACCATGTGTGAAAGTCAAACTTTGGCTAGTATACAGGTACTTGCACACTGCAATTAGATCTGATGAAAAGGTTTTTCTTAAAAAAAAAAAAAAAAACAAGAATAATGCTCAGTTTTGATGACCTCTGTCAGAGATGAATACAATTGACAACATAATTTTCAGGCATAATATCATTATATCGCAGTTATTTTTTAGAAGGATGGGATTTGTAATCTTGAGTGTATACAATATAGGAACTGTTAGAATTAATGGCCTTTTTGTTTCAAGATGCCAGAAGTGAAACTGCGTTTTGCATAGAAAGGTCAGCCTAAAATGCAGGCCACTGCACTGAGACACACACTCAGAGCTATCCACAATACAAATAAATCATCATCTCTGCATTCCACAACATCAAATACTCAAAAATGTCATATTACATCGACACCATCTAATGAGTTCCAAGAAAAAAAATGAAGCTAATCATACTCAGTTTCTGTTGCAGTACCTTGAGCAAATTATCAGAACTGCAAAAACCCCCCCAAAAAAACAAAAAAAAAAACCTCTCCGACATATTCAATCAAAACTGAGCAACATTTTCTTGCCATTTTTAATGATTTACTCAATTTAACTGTATAAGTGTACCGAATGAAGTGTTCAGTATGAAGCCATACCATACTGTACAATGGACAATCTAGCTTCAGAACAGCAGGGGGCAGCAGAGTATCTCAAAGTTAATCATCTCAATGACAACTATTTCCAGAATTCTAAAAGTGACGGTTCAATGGTAACCATGCAGGAGATCATTCAAGGGAGCAAAGTGGAAGAGATGCGGGTAAAAGATAAAGGTCCAGTGCATCTTTACTTCAAAACAAAAACAACAACGTGTGAACAGGAAAGCTCTCTTGAAACAGCTGCATTTTATCAAGAAAAAAAATATTTGAAAAAAAAAAAACATCCCTTCCAAAGCAAACAATATGTTTTGCAGAACCTGCCTTTATAGCAGCTTTGTAGTTTTTAGGACGTGCTTACAGGAAAGATGATGAGCAGGTGCATTTGGTCTTTGAAACAAAAATGCTACATGTGTTCTTGAAAGGACAATTATTGCATTTCAGAATTTGACAAGCATTCATTTACAGCCGCGTCGTTTACCGTAACACAACATCGCTCATTGCTCGCCGAGGCCTGGCTGTGACAATCGCCGGGCTAGTGTAGACTCATTTGAAGGGGACAGCAACACAAAAGGCTGGATGAAGTGCACACATGAGTGTGTGTGTAAGTGTGCGCGCGTGCATGTGCGTATGACATGTTTGATGTGGCAAGTGCATGAGACGTTTGACAACACCCCCCCACGCGACCCCCCCCCCCAAAAAAAACCTTTTGACTTTTGAGTTTCTGCTGTTTGGATAATGACATTTATCAGATATGCGATGAAAAAAATGCTTTCTCTCAGCATTCCAACTATTACAAAGCTTGAAAAGAATTACAAGGTCCTTTCAAAAGGAGGGGAGAACACTGACAGAACCGCAGCTATCACAGAGGATCCTGGCAAATGCACTACGGAAGTGGCGAGACGAGGGATCGAGTGGAGAGGAAGGCCAAAAGGTCAAAAGAAAAGAAGAATGCTTACTTTAATCAGGTTTAGTCTGTCATACTGAAAGAAAATTCAAGAGAAAACAACCAGTGAGTCAAACAAGCGTTGAAAGAAAAACCAAGGGTCTCATGGGGTGGCCTGCCGCCATCAAAGCACAGCGGGACACGGGCCTGATCTTGTTCATGTCACCGCTCGGACCAGTTCTCATGTGGCAGACAGGCCCGGGTGATTTTCTTGGTGTTTGTGCAGGGAGGCAGGGTGCCCCCATTTGCCGAACATGCTCTTTTATTTGGATTGCATTAGGGTTAGGGTGATCAAGCTCACGTTGCCGGGACGACCTCACGCCATGGCTGGGGTCATGTGACCAGTGCTGACTGGCTTACACCAGGGTGGGGATTGCGGTTGGGCGGAGCGGGAGGTGGAGGGGGGGGGGTTGTTGTGGACGGCTTAGTTTGAGGCACAGAAGTGAGGAGTGATGTAATCATTTGGCATGTGCTTTGTGTTTGTGTGCGTTGCCGTGTGTGTGAAGCAGATTTGTGCATTGCAGCAAATAGGGCATCACGAGGCGGCCTTAAAACAACCCTCTTGTTGATGTACTTTTGACTGTATTGTTCGACGCACGTTTTTTTTTACAATATCGATGTTTTTCGGAAATATTTTAAACTCTGCTAAGCAACAACTTTAATGGATGAGAAAACTGGAGCACAGCATTTCCCAAACTTGTTAAACCATGTTTTTAAAGACTTTATGAGGGGAAAGTTCATATTTAACCTTTATATTTTGTGAGGAAAAAAAAAAATCAGGAAAAGGAAATAATTGGAAGAATTATCAGACCAGACCACACATTCCTTGTAGGGTGGTCAGTGTACCACAGTTCGTTGTAGTACACTGTGTGCGCATGACGATAAAACGACGCATGTTTGATTTGATTTTGCACCAGTACTCCAATAAACGATCCCAATGCATTTACACTCAATGGCCAAAACATTTGGTACATCTGCACAATGCAGTGAGCACAAAGTGATTCATAACTTTTGGCAAGTATTGATTCCCATTGCCTTTGTTTCAGTATATGGTAGAGGTCTTGCTTGGGTTTTTATTAGATTGCGCTGATGTACACAATACGGCAGCCAGCGAGTGCAAAAGCCTCATCAATCCATTAACAAGCGCTACATTGCAAATCACTGCAGAGGAAACACAGGGGGGGGGGGGAGGTAGGAGGAGGTGAGCGAGGTGTAATTGGCTGTTGTTTATGGTTACAGGATGGAGAAGCAGGCCGGGCCGAGGGTGAGATGTTTCCACAGAGCAGCTGACGAGACAAGAGGAGGGACACGAAGGGGGCAGAGGAGGAAGAGCAGGAGGAGCACAGAAACATTTGAAGAACAGAAAGAGTAATGCTTACTTTGGAAAGTCGCTTGTGAGACTATCATGCAGACAGGAGAAGAAAAAGAAAAGCAAAATCAGATCGACAAAAAAAAAAAGCACAAATAAATTAATACCAAGTTAAAAAAAATAAAAAATCAGCTGAAGATAACAGAACTGTTGTCATCAGATGGCACAGGTTATCATGTGACATGAAGTGGCCACTAACGCAGAGGGAGGGGTTGCACACTGTGAGTGGATGAATGAACAAAGAGGACGGTAAATGAATTTAAAGAGGACACAGACAATGAGACCATGAATATGACATGGCTTCATTAGCGTTCGTTAGCGTACATGACAAATACAATCGAAAATCAATTTCCCCTTTGTAAAAGCTGGTTTCTCGGCAAAACCAAAGCTAAGGCAAGACACTTCACCAAAACGCTAATTATAAATTGTGTTGGCCACGACTCACATTCATCTTCGATCAGTACACCTGCAGTTCAGGTTGTCCTTCTGGAATGATCAACCAACTTCACTCAATACCTATGGAGGAGTACCATCGGGTCTCACAGAGACTTTGAATCCTTTGTTGGTCACCTTGGCCAGATGGGCATCTCATGGAAGAGTCTTGCCATTGACTTATTCAAATTTCCATTGTGCTATTAGGTGGATTAAATGCAGCTTTTAGAAGATTTTTGAAAGCCTTGCCCTAATTTACTCCACCTCAGTCCTGTCTCTGAGCTCACCACATAGTTCCTTTGACCTCATAAACTGGCTTTTGCTCTGAGATGCTTGACAATTGAGCGTCTTTCCAAATTGTCTCCAGTCAGTTGACCTTTACACAGGCGGAGCCCAATTAACGTTTACAAAACATCACCAAGACAATGACAAGAACAAAAAGCAAAAATGTGATTTAACGTTTTTTTTTTTTTTTATGAATGAAATTCAAGTGTTCCGATTTTTTAATGAAGACACCTAAAAAAAAGGGTACAGTTTCACGAGCGGAAATTTTTAGAAGCCATTTGTTTTGTTCAGTTTTTATGGAAAGTATACATCATAGCTTACATGACAATGTGGAGCACATTGTTTGTGATATTTCTCCAACTGTCAAAACTACAGCGATAGGGCTCCAAAAATTACGAAACAGTCAGAAAAAGCAAACGGCGTCACTCACTTTAGAGTTCTTTCCCCCGCTGCGTGCCGACTGCAGTGAATAGGTCCTCTGAACTACTTGCTCGGGCGTGGAGGGGGACTTGTCCGAGGAGTGGTCCGAGCCCTTCTCCACCATGTTGTCACCTTCCTGGCTCTGTGGTGTGGGAGAGCGTGAGCGTTTGCGCAGGACTGGTGAGCAAGCAGGAGTGCTCTTGTTGGAGTTACTGGCAGTGCTGAAAAGAAAATAGGTTTGAAGGGATGAGAAAAAGATTGAAAAGATAAATCTGGATACATGGACAGCAATCACAATAATGAGACCAATGTATGCGGTATCAATGATATAAAGTATGAACAAAATGTATATCATACAACAGTAGTTATTCTTCGCTTTTCTTTTTATGAATCAATTCAAAAAGATGTAATAACTTCATCAAAAGTAAAAACAAAACCAATGTGATACAATTTTGGGTCAATTATTGTTTCAAATACACACAATCTGCATGTGGGAACACGTGTTCTGCACATTAAAATTCTCTATGCCGGCAACGGATGTGGCAGACAGACAACCACGACTCCAAAGCATTCATCACCATGGCGGGACAATTATTGAGTTATCGACATCAGTGGGGTTCCTTCCCTGGAAGAGTTACATAATTCAAGACTTTACATTTACAGGCTTGATACTGGAAAATAGCACCACTAACAACAGCAACAACAACAACACAGTCATCAGCAAAACCTATTTAGTATACTGTACCACGTTAAAGTTGAGGATCATTACTGCCACCAATGTTAGAGATGTAATGGCAACGGCAATATCCGATACTAAAATTGCCCCGATATTGTCGTTGTCAGGTCATGATATTCAAAGCACCAAATATGTTGAATAGGCCAGGTTATTATCCATTTGAGCAATTCCAGCACCCTCTGGTGGTTAGTTTATTCACGCAGTTTAATTTGAATTAGGCACGTTTTGGCCACCTATGTTTTAGAACGACGCTCGTTGCCAGATGAAGGGGAACGTAACACGTTTGAGTTCCTCCACAAACTGAATTGATTCACAATGCGTGCGTCCATTAGCAAGTAAGTGCCTCAACATTAAGTGTTATGAGTGTGATCAGCTGAACCTACATAGCCCAATTGAAAATAAAATGACTAGCCAATCCTGTTTCATTGTCGCTGCTGTATGTACCACAGCACCATATTGGGGCTTTTTGTTTCAATGTGAGAATTAAAAAACAAACAAACAATATAATGTTTTTTTTATACAGCATCGTGAGCTTTTTTTTAACACTGTTTCGCCAACTTACCCACAATATCATGATAATTATAGTATCGTGAGGTTCATAACGTGGTAATACCGTATTGTGATGTTTGGATATCGTTATAGCCCTTTTGATTTAAAAGAATAGATTTGAACCAAACCAAATCATTGTCAAATTGTCTTGGAGAGATATGCCACACTTACAGTACTAACAGGTTTGTAAATTTGTAAATATTATTCCATCCTTAACTGAAATATAAGGCTTTACATGATTGAACCACAATTTTCCAGGGATGCACCTTTTTGAGGCAAAGCAAGGTGTCATGTAGTCCCACTTAGGCTAACGACGTATAGATTGTTATCACTAACTGAGGCGCATGTGGACTTTTACTTGGGGATTTGCTTTCATACCCTCATGAATAGCAATCAGGCTAAGTGCCACTGTCTAACAAACTGATCATCTCTGCATTAGCTATCTTGTATTCTCATATTTGTTCCTCTCATGCAGAAAAAAAATCAGTGGCACTTGCAATTATAAAGATATTATCACCGTAAAAAGAAATTTCCGATCGATGATGGTTTGGTTTCACATGGTTGAATAATCCGTGTTGTCCGTATTGAAATATATTTATTTGTTACTACATCATTTTCATAAGGAGCATTTCCATTTTCTGCCAGAAATGTCGTTTTAAAACAAGGCCATACCTTCCAACAAGAGCCGTCATAACGTTCATTAATGCCTGAATAGATACAGACATTTTTATAGAGGTCTAGTACTGGCTCGCTTCTGTTTGTCGAGGTGCACCCAATGAAGTATCCGATGAGCATATGCACATGCTCACATGGACTGCAGCAAACAATGGCCTCAGCAAGTGATGAACCCAGCAATGAACTCACGAGGTCGGGTAACTTGGCATGACATGATGCACAACCAGGCATAGATTCACTGCTCGTCGCCATGCATTACTGACGTCATATTCAGTATATCGTGGCGAGCAGTGCGCGCAGCTTCTGTGGCAGATATTAAAAAATAATGATGTCACAGAGGCTTCACTTCTGGACAAGTCAAGGAGAGATAATGCAGGCTTGCCTGTTCACGGCAACTCCATTGATATGATTATCAACCTTTCTGCCATTCGGTAAATGATCTGTGGTCTGTTCACTGTATAGTTGCAACGTCGATTAGTGAACACTGACCTGGTTCAGAGGAAAAAAAAGTCTCATTTGGATCTGTTGATTGTTGTGTATTTGGAGAAGAACATGACACTTCTACTGAGGTGCACTTTTGCATTGTGTAACACACAGCTAATAAGACGCACTTCAAAAGGTACACCTTGTCCCTCCTCTAGACAGAAATGAAGTAAAAAGAATAGTAGAACTTCCCTTCAATATAATGCAGTGCAGTTCAATTCTACACCATAGCATATGTTCAGGAAATGCGTCCATAAAATTGAAAGTATTGTCGTGGAAATTAAAAAAAAAAATGCCAATACTCGAAATTGCTCTTTGGTGTGTATGTGAGTCGGAAAGGTTGTTTTTTAAGGCACCACAAAGACACAGGTATGATAGACCTCCGCATCAGTGAATTAACTAATTGGGGCGTATCAAACCTGTTTTCATTGCAAGCTACATTGTAGTTAGAGCTGCCCTCAGGAAGCCGGTTGTACCACGGAAACCACAAATGCATAATTGCTAACCGTGTAAACCGAATGCCAAAAATCCCAGTTTTGATTTCAAGTGCATAGTTTGGTTCACATTCAATTTCATGTTCATAAACTGTGTGCATGTCTAAAATAAGGCTGATTAATTGCTGTTTTGAAGATGCATTTGTAGCGCAACAGTTTTTTTTTAAAAATATGAATAACAAATGTGTAACCATGATATCTGCTTGCCAGAAGCTGTGCTGCAATGTGCTTGCTCACAGTGAAGAGCTGCATTTATTCATTGAGGTCTATATGTCCCTGCAGTGATAGGGAAGACTGTAGACAAACGCTTTAGCAATGAAAAAGCCCGATTGCTCGGAGCAGTGCGCGCATCGATGCAACTGACACAAATCTCAACTTGTGAAGATCACTATAGCAACAGAGGTTTAGATATTCAGCTTGTGACTAAATATACTCATCTGATCTGTTGCCTGAGCAGGAAAGCGACAGACCACTTCGTCCTTGATCACTTGTTTGTGAAATTATTGCATATTTTGCGCAACTAATATATGCCACCAAATATTTAGTCTTACAGAGTCATGAAAAACATACACACGCTAAGTCTCCACAACATTTGGTACACCTGCAAAATAACCATTCATCGGTCCAGCCATACATGGGTACAGCACTTCATATATGTCATTCGTTATGTATTAGAGGCTCAACTCATCTGCATGCCATGTACTGCACAGGCAGACAACTGAAGGACTTTCAGGTGTCAATTACCAAATGCATGTCGCATTCATCCCAAACAGGACAAAAAAAAAAAAAAAAAAAAAGCAAAAGTAAAACAAGCATGCTACTTGCACCACTTTGTTCCAGTCTTTCCGCTAAATAAGCTCTAAAGCTCTTAAATCCGATGGGCTCAATCGGTCCAAACGTTCCCTTCCACAATACCCTCAGAGTTCCGGGCCTTTCTAAGGGGGGCCCCTGCTTGTTTTTATGGTTTTGCTGACCCCTGGAAAAAAAAAAAAAGCCATCTGGCAAAAGTCCCTTCATCCTGTCTTGCGGCTGTAAAAGACCATGTGGGGCGCCACGCTTAACATCACCAAGTGCACATGCAGACGTAAACATAAGCACGCGTGTGCTCAGGGGCATTCGCGTACGCCCCATACATGGCCAAATAAATCCCGCATAACAGTAGATAATGCACGTTTTAGACTGCAACACGTTACAAAGCCAAGCACACAGACTGTCCACGTTACATAACGACAGCTATCATGCGCCACCCTTCCACGCAGAGCACACTTATACCGCAGCTCGCCATACCCCTGGTGAAAGACTCGATCCCTCAACACGTCGCCGTAACAGCCCTCGAGGCAGCGACAGCCCTCGTCGGCCACGCTGACGCACTCAAACACCACCATGTCCTCGTAGACGAGCCCCAGCAATGAGTTGTTCACCCAGCGAATCATCCCGCCACCGACGGCGCCCTTCTCTCTACCCCCTTTTGTCTTTCCGCAAGAATGGAAGGAAAGGAGCGCGGAGGGAGGTGAGATGGACGAGGCAGGCAGGGAGATTTTCTTTAGCAGGCTTAGGGCCACTGATCTTCCCCGGCCAGCTCTGATCTCCTAATAACCAGCTTACATCGCCCTTCGCGCCGGCTGCCAAAGCAGACGCACCGGGGGTCTGAGGGGCAGGCTTCCCTCCATCCTAAATAGCACATATTGATCGAGCCTGTCGGGGATCTACGAGGCTGTACGTGGAGGCAGGTGATTCCCAGCACTAACCTGGTCGTTGCCATGTCGAGAGCCACTAGTTTAGCCCTTCGCGAGCGGCTTCATTCATGCGGCGGCAATGAGGCACAAGAAGAGGAGCGGGAGGAGAGGAGGGGAGAAAAGAGAGAGGGATAACGGAGACGAGGGAGGATGGGTGCCAGATCATGCCGGGAGAAATGGACGAAAAAGCGCGCTGAAAGAAGACAGGGCGGCAGTGGAAAATGGGAGGGGGGGGAAAGCTGCACTGGAGGTCGTCCTGTTTCGTTTTATCCTTTACTCTGCTCTTCTTTGTCGAATTGAGGCTGGTAGGCTCCGTCGAACAAGCTGCCATGTTTCGTCCTCATTCTTCCTCTTCTTTGCTCCTCCACCCGCTGGATCATCTGCTTGATTGCAGCATCGGCGAGGAGCCCAAATGAAGCTCTTGTGATTTTATTTATTTTTATTTTTTTGCTCTCCGTCAAATACGACGGTCGGCTGCACGGAACGCCAATGTCTCTTTTGCTCTCTTATTGCATTCCGCCTTTTCCTGTGGCTGCTGCTACAGCGAG